TCTGAGAAACTGCCTGTTTGAAAATATCATTATTCTACCGCCACATTTAATTTCTAGTGCTAGATACAGAAGTCTACGTTAGAATGATTTCCTCCCCTCTAAGATTTTTAAAGGCAGGTTCCATTGTCTCCCAGCTTTAAGTGCTGCTTTTAGACGTCCGCAGTGCCTTTCTGATTCCCCGTCCTCTGCATGTGACTTTTCTTTTCTTCTCTGTTACGTTCTGGTATCTTATCTTTATCCCTGGATGCGTTCCTGCACTTCAGGATGACGGGCCTGCATGGGAGGCTATTTTTATTCCTTGAACCAGGTCGCTGGCAGGCCCTTCTGATTTGGAGACTCATGTCCCCCAGTTCTGGGAAGTTAATCTGTGTTACTTGCTTGATAGTCTCCTCTTACCTATGTTCTCTCTTCTGGAACTCCTATTAATCAGATGTTGGACATACTGGATTGATACTCTAATTCTCTAATTTTTCCCCCGGTTGTTCAATTCACTGTATGTGTGTTATACTTTCTGGAAGATTTTCTTGATTTTTATCTTTTGACTCTTCTGGGGTTTTCTTTTCCCCACGCCATAGTTTTAATTTCTAAGAGCTTTTGTTCTGATTATTTGTTTTTAAAAAGTAGTATCGTGTTCTTGTTGCAAGGATGCAGCTACTTTTTCTTATCTCTCTGAGGATATTTAAAAAAGCTTTTAATTTTTAAAGTATTCTTTTATCCTATGCATTATCTGCTACCTGTTATTTCTTTCAATTTTCTTGTTATTTTGGGCTCTGTCCATCATGTAGGAAAATTTCTTCAAATGTCTGGTGACGTGGGCTATTGATTAATATTTTAAAGTTAGGTACTAAAATGCTGATTACAAGTTCTATTTAAATGTCCAGGGCTTACTGATTGGTGGCCTTCATTCTGGGACAATCAGGTGGCCAGGCAGTTTTTTTATTGAGATCTCCCCAAATGTCAATATCAGAAGTTCCTCCCTCTAGGAACGTATCATCTCCAAACAAGTGCCCATGGATTCCTGCTTAGGAGAGGCAAGGAAGAGAAGAGATGGCACCAGGTCATGTGAGCACCTCAAACAGGGCAGGGAAAGGACTGGGCAGGCCCTGGGGTTCAGAGTACAGACAACGTCTGACACTAGTGCCTCTTGCTCTGCCTCGGGCCCCAGGGGGAGTGCGTCCCCAGCTGAATTTCTCCCCAAACTATAGATTCCTGTTGGGGTAGGGCAGGGGACCACCCCGGGTCTACCTGCTCTGTATTCAGTCTCTGAATTAATCCTCTTCTTGCCACCAGCCCCAGCCTCCCACAATACCCACCGATCTCACATTCAGACCCCTCCTGGGTTGCGTAGGGCACACCATCTCATTTCTCACTAGTGTCTCTTTCTGCAGGCTTTCAGTCCCTCTCTTGGGTTAACTGAACTCCATTCTTTTAAGTCAGGCCTTCCTCCATCTACCATCTCTCATACACTCTGGTCTCCTATCTCACCCTCTTTTGGGTTTAGAACTTTTGAATCCTTTCACTATCATTTTAGTGGGGTTCTCTGGGGTGGGGAGAGACACAGACTAAAATGTATGTGTTCACTCTGCCATACTAATCAAAAGCTCCTTTAACTGCCCCTCTGTCAGTATCTCTTTCTCATCACCATTAAAAAAATTTTATTTTACTGCAGTAAAAACACTCAATCTAAGATCTACCCTCTTAACACACTTTTAAGTGGATGATGCATTATTGTTGGCTGTAACTCACGAGCACTTAAACACTCTCAAGTTTCTCCAATATGAAGGAAAAGGGAAATAATAAAAAAGATTCCCCATCTCCTCACCTACTGCCTTCCCTTTTCCCCCTAATCAAACTTCTTGACATAGTTGCCTACACTCTTATCCCTTCTTCAACATCCCCAAGTCTCCATCTTCTGCCACCTCCCTTCTCCCCCCATCACTCACTGAAACCCATCTTGCAAAGAGACCCTACCACTGACAAATCCAGTGGCCACTTCCTGGTCCTCACCTCACTTGAATCTCAGTAAGGTCAACACCACTGTTCTCTCTTCTTCTCAGAACATGCTGTTTCTTAAGTTTTGGGCCCTGTACTCTCCTTACATCTTCCTATCTCTTTGCAAATGGGAAGCACACTCCTTAGCGGAGCTTATCTGGTACAGACTATGCTTTCCATGCCAGCCTCACCTCTTGCCACACCATGTTCAACTTCTACACTACCATGCATGGAACTTCTCCAGTTCCGAGAGCAAGCCATGTTCTGTTTTTCTTCTGGTCTTTGTACATCTCATTCACTTTTATTTGGCCAATTTTGCAAGTATGCTATATCTTTGAAGGCCACTCCTACAGGCTCCCAGAGCACCTTGTATTTCCACTCCCAACGTGTTCACTGAAACCCACTGCAGTTGCCTGCTGACCAGTCCAAGCTCCCCGAAGACAAGACCCACATCTTCTACCGTGTTCAAAGCTGTGTCACTAGAACCTGTATGATGGTTAGTGCATGGTATGCATCCAAAAAACGTCAGTTGCACAAATGAATAAAGACACAGCTGAGAGGAGGGGAGAATCAAATGCCAACAGAAAGGCACATTTTATCACATTATCTCTTTAATGGGCCAGCAGAGGAAATGAATTTGGTCTATAAAAGAAGACTTTACACTATAACTTAAACTCTTTTGATGGCTCTTTCCTAAATTCTTATCAGTGTATGTGACCAATGGTCATGATACTTCGTACAGAAATATCCAAATGCGGAGTCAGAATAACAGAGTATCAATATACCATCTTCACAGGACAACTGTCTAAATGTTTCAGATTATTAAAAATCTGTATATAGGTAAATCATAGGCTTTTGAAGTGCTATGGGAATGACAATGTTTTATTCAGGTAGCTTTGGTATAATTTGGGTCACATACTCAAAGCTGGTATTTTAAAGACAGAAATATTTCTGAAAAGAATCAGATTAGCTCTGTTGAGAGAATAACCCATTAAGCTGCTCAAAGCATGAGTGTGGTGGGCTCTGAAGAGGAAAAACAAATCCCAGCTCAAGCAAAACGGGATTTCTAGCTTTTGACTGTATTTTAATTAATGAAAGCCAAGCTCTCAACGCTCCAGCATCCCAAGCGCCTTCCCTGTCACGCTGACATGCTTATCACTGGGCAAGGACCTTCTTCCTTGGCGCATAGCAAGACGTCTTCCAAAGCATGCTGACATTCAGTTATTTTGTTTTGTTTTTTGTTTTTGGAGGGGAGGTGATTAGGTTTATTTATTTATTTATTTTTACTGGAGGTACTGGGGATTGAACCCAGGACCTTGTGCCTGCTAGGCATGCACTTTACCACTGAGCTATACCCTCCCCCTTCAGTTATTTTGAACTGTCTCTAACATTTGACCCCATTTAGCCACAACTGAAGAGCCTATTTATAGAAAACATGTCTGTCTGCGAACAGATGTTTTAAATGTGAACTATGACAAACACCTTGCTAGAGACTACATTCCCAGCTGGAGAAACCTAGAAACAACTCAGAAGTTATGTCTAGTCTCTTGATAATGAAGCACCGTGTGGAAAAAAACGTTTCCAGCTCAGATGGAAGAAAGGAGAGGTGTTGTGATGAATTGCTTTCCATTCACTTGTCTGAAATAGAGGTTACTTTACTTCTACTCTGAGTCTCTGCCCACAGAAGAATTCATACATTTATAACTGAAAAATTGCCTCTTATCAAACATAAACAATCTTTCCATAAACAGATGCTCTAAGCCAGAGGGAGGAAGGGCGGGTCAGACACCTTTATACTTGTCTTCCCCCAGAAAGACCCAACAATAAATCAAAGGGGACCCTATATATGATCTGCAGGAACAGAAGTCCTCCATGACAAAAAGCACACATAAGGAAAAAGTTCCAAGACAGAGACACTGCCCCAGTACAACCAAAGCCTGTGCACAGCAGGCATGTTGAAGGCACTGCCTGTGATCTTGTACTCCGGGCAGTGACTCTGGAAAAAGTAAACCTCCGCCCCCGCCCCCCTGCCAGTGCTCCGTTCAACCACTTTTCACCTGTATTAAATGTTAGAGAATGGAACTGACCCAGGACAATGTCACCCCCTGCCACCTCCAATCACTACATACACACATTCCCTGCAAGGACGGCAGGAAACCCCGCACCCAGTTGATACTATATGTCCTGGACAGACTATGGGCCAGTTATTAGCCCAGATATTCATCTTGCTCCTTGTACCCTTTTCTTCAAAATTCAGCCGTCTATTTGAAAATATATGCTACAAGTCTTGTTCATGAGTACACTGTAGTCATTCCTTGGGTTTCAGTGAAAATAAGTAGATAAATGGGTAGTTAACTCAAAGCATGATGCGACTGACTTTTTTCTCCATTACTGACTACTTCTTAATTTTTGGAAACCCCAGTCATTGCTGACCTTATACTGTAATATCATGTGATTGATGCTGCTTCCTTTTACTAGACTCGTCCTCTGCCTCCATTTACCCGCCTGGCTCCAACCTGACTTCTCAGATAGCTCAGATATCACCTCTTACAACAATCCTTCCTCATCCAAATATTCCCCCTCCCCAGTTCCTCACAACAGTCCTTCTCTTACTGGATTAGGTGTCCCTTCTCAGGGTTCCAAAACCATACTCTGCACCTGACCTTCCTGGGAGCAATCCCACAGTACTCTCCTTGTATATAAGACACATCTCCCCAGCTTGTCTTTAAACTCCTCAAAGGCAAAGAGCATTGCTCATCTTTATGCTTCAGTTCAAGGTACACACCAGACACTCTGGCATTTATTCTAAAATGTGTATGAAATGAGAGAATGAATGTATGAATACATGGATGATGTTCAGACTTAGAATTATAAAGACGGGTCTTTGGAAAACATTAGGCCATCCTACATCATCCAAAATTCCCTAAACAAGCATTTCCTAGGAGATGATGATGTTCAATAAAACACGAATATCTTCTAATGAAAAAAGCACTAAATAAAAAACTTACCGGCAGAGTTCCAGGCAGAGATGCATCAAAAAAGGATACCAGAGAATTTGGAGGTGCTGCGAAGTGGACTTGAGATCCAGAGAAAAGTTTAGAGTTGGAGGAAATCTGGGCATGAATTTCCAAACCTACCACAGCTGCCCATTCACGGTCACTAAAAAGAAAGACATAGCAGTGAAGTAGTTAATCTGCCAGCATGCAGGAATTTCTCCAAGCCTAAACCACAAATGTTAATTTCCCACTAGTGATTTTTTAATGATTTATCTTTATCATTATTATTATCATTATTATTTTTATTATATTTATTATCATTATCACTATTATTTTTTGGTAGGGGGAGGTAATTAGGTTTACTTATTTATTTATTCTTAGAGGAGGTACTGGGGATTGAACCTAGAATCTCATGCATGCTAAGCATGCTCTCTACTGATTGAGCTATACTCTTCCCCTCATTAGTGTTTTTAACTTATTAAAATTTTATATCCCTACATTTTAAAAAAGTCCTATTGTTTTGCTGACTAAATCAAAAGCAGTTCATAATGAACACCTACAAGACTGGCAAAACAAAATTCATCTACAACATGGCATGAGGCGAGTTCAGTGTACAAACAAGAAGGTGACAGAAAGGAACAATTTGGCATCATAAAACTATTTAGAAATGGGTATCAGGTGGCGACTCCTTGGCTGACTTTAATGAGAAGCAGCATTTTCTAAATTAACTGTCCTTTATCAATTAATCACTCAGTAAATGAAGAAAGCCGATCCTGTGAACCTTTTTAGAACTAACATAAACATCAAGACTTTACTACTTCAGAAATAATGGTAAATAAATAGTCGCACATCTCATTATCTAAAAAAGAAGGGTAATTCTCAGTCGTGTTTTGAATTCATTTTCTAACAACGGTTTGCAAGTGAAGTAACCAGAGTGACACGGATGTGATAGATCACTACCAAATGATACTCTTCCTGAGAATTTTGTGCAAAGAAAAACATTAGGCCATGACATGTGGTTTTTTTTTCCCCCTTTGGTTCCCCAAATCACTTTAAACTCCTGAGATCTAGTGTCAGGTTCCTTTGCTTGTTTTACACTTGACTGCTATCAATCCTAAGACGCTGCAATAATGCAGCTTAAATGCTACAATAATCTCTTATCTGGCCACTCCTACTCTGTTGAGTCTGTATGAACATTCCATACATGGGTCTCTCCAGGTTCCTGTAAGTGTGCTTATTCCTTCTGAAACCCATGTATCCTGGGCAATCTGTAGATGGTCTAGTGTACACATACTCTGGGTACTGTCTGTCCCTACCTGCTCTTCCCCCAAACAATTTTCTATATTATCCAAATGTTTGTTTACATGTATTTAGCTTTGTTTCAATCATGTCAACACATGAAGTTCTATACAGTATTGATAGATTCTTCCTTTCTAAAGTTTGGAAGCACAACCTGTAATTGAGAGGAATTACACGAAGAACTTATCAGAAATCCTGCATTCACTAAAACCTTATTCAATGTACTTCTGCAGTTTCATTACATGAGAGAAAAGACTTTCCACTTACAGTGAGATAATTAAATTTGTGAAAAGAATAGAAACAATGTTTCTGGGCATTTTCCCTCTGTTCCTCCAACAGAAAAGTAAAAATAATGGCAACCTCACTATCTCAAAGGAAAAACTGAATTAGACACGTGCCTTATGTTTCTGTGCTTAAAAAGAAAAAAATTAAAAAGAAAAGAAACTAGGTCTTATACAGTGAAAAATAAACAGCTGTTCAGAGGCTACTGAGCAAAATAAGCAAAACTGTCTACATGACCACACGGAACATCTCTTGTAATGGCTGCATCCTCCTAGTTTAGACACATGTTCAAAATGAATCGCTTCCACAGACAGACGGTGTTTTCTGACTAGTCATATTAAGCAATCACCATCCAAAGCTTGTTGGTAAGGCTCCCTTTTTACCTTTAAAACACTGCTGGCCCATGGTAGCGCTAAATAAATGTCAGCTAAATAAGACCCTGATTCACCGACCCCGCTACTGGTGCTACTAGTAAGGTGACTGAATCTACTTTTCTATCTGTGCTGCTTTTGATTCAAGAAAACACGTATTTTACATTCGCGAATTTCCCAAATATGCCTATCTACATGAAGAGAGTAGTTTATGTGTGGGGGCGGGGCTGACAGAGGGCCAGTTCCGTGCTTTCATTTAGGTTTCAGGGTTGCAAGTTATAGCCCAACACCTTCCCACCCATCAAAACGTCTAGACTGTGGGTTGGGCTG